TTCAGCTGTGTTTGAGCAGGTTCCAGCTGTCGTTCAGCTGTGTTTGAACAGGTTCCAGCTGTCGTTCAGCTGTGTTTGAACAGGTTTCAGCTGTCGTTCAGCTGTGTTTGAACAGGTTCCAGCTGTCGTTCAGCTGTGTTTGAACAGGTTTCAGTTTCTTTTAGAAGTTTTCTTTCTGTAAATCTCTTCGGCTGCTGTTCAGTTCTCTGCTGAGATATCCAGTGCCCCAGTTAAGAGTTCTGAGTTCTGATGAGACTGGTCCATGGCTGGTGCTGTTAACTCGGGACGTTTTGATGTGAATCATTATTTTACTGAAAACAGAAGTGCTGGTCAGTCAGAAGATCACCATATGGTGTTTCCTGGTTGATTCTCATTCATTTAGTCTCCGATGCCTTCAGCTGACGTTCAGCTCCAAACAGTGACAGCCCCTCCACCATGCTGTACAAACGAACCCTTGGGGCCTGCTGACCTTTTTAGTTCATATTGATGATGTTCTGATCCAAGAATGTAAAGTTCATTGCTCCATGAACGTGTTGCTGCTGACTGTGGTCGTGTGTTTTTTGTCTTTTCTTTAATTAGAAACAATCGAAGTCAAACTGAGTGAGACGTCAGCCATTGATTTATTTTCTGTCTCGTCTTCCTCATTAGTCTTCGTACGTCTGAGACGAGTTACCTGAACGAGGCGTTCTCCTTCTACTCTGCCATCCGTCAACGGTCCTACTACCATCAGGTCAACAAGGAGGACAGGTAAGGTCTCGCCTGTCCAAAGTCCTCCTTCTAGATGGTCCACTTGTGCAGTGTTGGATGGTTCCGGGCTTATTTAGTGTCTTCAGGGATTTGTTCTCCTGCCTTCTCGTGTTTGTCAGGCCCGAGCTGGTGGTGAAGAAGCTCCGATATTATGCTCGCTACATCGTCGTGTGTTTGCTCCTCAACAAGATGGACCTCGTCAAGGTGCTGGTGAAGGTACGGGCTGGTTTAAGACTACATCTATTTACATGGTTCATGAGGTACTTTGTGGTTCTTATTGGTCCTGAAGTGTTTCGGACGCAGAAGAATAGTTTTTGTGTGACTGATCTGAAACTTCTGCAGGAGTTATCTGAGGAGATCGAGGACTACACCCAACGCTTCAACACGGAGGACCAGCTGGAGTGGAACCTGGTTCTGCAGGAAGTGGCAACTTTCATCAAGGTAATCAGTCCTCAGCTGTGACCCTGTTGGGTCCTTGAACCTGAGTCTGACACAACTTCATTTGTGTGTGAAACAGGCCGACCCGGCGGTGGTTCTGAACGACAACAACTCGATGGTTGTCACCAACAACAGGATGCAGGAGGGCAGCGTTCCCCCTCTGGAGCAGGGCATGGTGGTGGGACAGCTGGTCCTGGCTGACTCCTTGATCATTGGCAACTGGAACAACCAGGTTCTGACCCACTCATTCTGAGTAGATCAGCATTGCACTGCTACCAAATTACCTCCGTCAAATCGTACCTGTGCAGCTTTGGCTACCTGGACCTGTTCTGAACACTGGTGTGGTTAGTCCTGAGTCTTCAGGTCTGTGCTTCTTAAGACAGAAGAAATTAATCTGATAAGTTCTAACATAGTCTGATATTTAACTTGTTTGCTTAAAAACAGGTCAAGTGGGGTACGATTTGGCAGAGTGATGACCAGGGCTTAATTTGAGCCGGATCCTGTCGGAACAAGATCCGGGAACTCTCTTATTTTGACCGGGTGTGTTCCGGTAACTTTGCTTGGATCCACTAACTCAAATCTCTTAAAAATGCAAAGAGAGGAGACGTTGCCCTTGGCCCAGCAGACCCAGTCTGTGCAGTGGATGTTCCGGCTGCAGCACATGCACCAGTGTGCGCACGCGCTCCTGCCCATCAGAGACGCTGATGGCATGTCCCGCTGGGATGAAGTGTCTTCATCCAACACCTTCAGTGGTGCGCCCTGTGGACAGTGCACATTACGCACAAGAGCATCTCCATACAGCTCTACAGATAAATTTATAGTAAATGGACTGTATTTATACAGCACCTTTCTATCTTATCAAGACACTCAAAGCTCTTTACAACAATCTGTGCCTCATTGACCCATTCATACAGCTCTATACTAGATCTCTACAAAGATAATTGAACAAATCATTCTAAAGAGAATAATCAGAGCTTTATCACATTCATACACTGATGGGACACACATTGGAGGCTATGAGGGGTTCAGTGTCTTGCCCAGGGACACTTTGGGCGGCTGTGGCTGAATGATTAGAGCAGTGGTCCTCCAATGCGAGAGTTGGGGGTTTGAATCCACCAGCAGTCACATGCCGAAGTGTCCCTGGGTAAGACACAGCCACAACCGCCCAGAGCGCGCACAACTGCTGATGTGTCGGAACTCACGCATACGTTTCAGACATAATAAATAAAAAAGCTTACAGTAAAAAAACAATACAACGCTAGAAATGTTTGATGTGTATTATTCACATTACATCACATTTCAAAACAACAACGCTAATTTATCAAAATAAAAGTGATCAAAATGTCAAAAAGACAGTCCAATTTACTTTCATAATTTTTTTATTTTATGCCCCCACCCGCCGGCCCACCCGATATTTGCGTTCTGGCATCGCTCAGTTTACAAATGAAGCCCTGGTAATGACCCAACAGGAGGGAGATCTAAAAGATGTTCTTGTTCTTGGTGTCAGTACTCCATGTCTCCTCATGGGGGCGCTGAACTCAGAACCAGCTTGATCCGACCGTAAATGAAAGAGTTAAAGAAGAAAAAGTTTAACAGAAAATTATTGCAAGAAGAGAACTGCTGTAGTTATTAGAAGCTTTATTCACCTTTTCACAGGGAGCTTTTATTGATAGTCATATGTTATTATAGTCGACTGTTTTTCTGTGTTGTTGGTTCTGTGGACTGGGTCATGCGGTTCACAGACGTGGCTGGAGGCCCTCATTTGGTCAGCCAGCAGCTGATGTTCTGACACCATCTGTTCCTAAAGCAGATCTGAGTGGTTCTTCTTGTTCCAGGTGAAGTTCAGCGAGTTGACCATCGACATGTTCCGCATGCTTCAAGCTTTAGAGAGGGAACCTGTGAACCTGGCAACTCAGACCTCCAAACAAGGACCACTGGTGAGGTTTTACGTCACTTGTGTCTGATGGCAGTGCTCCTGCTGTACAAAGAATAACATTTAACAAGTCTCCTGATGCATGCTCAATTTAACTCCAAGGACTGGAAATGAGTCAGAAAACAGTTCATTTCAAAGATTTTAGCAGAAAACTTGACATGTTTTGGTTTGAGTCACAATAAAGTTTCTAAAAAATGTTGAGGGATCTAAGCTGGAGGCCAAACAAGGAAATGTCAGGTCTGAAATAAACTCCAGCGGATAACCAACATCTGAAAGGCTTTAGGAAACTGTAACTATATGTTGAGAAACTACTGTTGGAGGACAACCCATCCACCCATCATTGTTACCCACGTCTTACTTTCTGGGCCGGGTGTGTGTGTGTGTGTGTGTGTGGGCGGGGGGGGGGGGGGGGGGGGGGGGGCGGGGGGGCGCGGGGGGGGGTGAACTGGGGGGTGGGGTGTCACTGGTGTCCGTGTTCAGCAGTAACTGAGTGAGAGGTGGGGGAAACACCCTGAACAGGTCTCCAGTCCATCACAGGGACACCAGGAGACAAACGAGACAAACAACCGTTCACTCTCTCTCACCTAGGGACAATTTAGAGTTACCAATCAGTCTAACGTGCATGTTTTTGGTCTGTGGGAGGAAACTGGAGTACCTGGAGAAAACCCACGCATGCACGGAGAGAACATGCAAACTCCACCCAGAAAGGCCCCCCGGCTGGGATTTGAACCAGCGACCTGCTTGCTGAGAGGCGGCAGCTCTACGACCTGCTGCCCTGTTTGAGGACAAATAATTTTTGAATGCCAGCTTCTGTAGCCGAAGATCAGACCGCCAGGGTCCCCGCCCTCGGCCACTACACATCCCACATTGCATCCGACCCCTTTGGCCCCTCCCACAGGTGGTGAGCCCATGGGAAGGGGGACCCACGTCTCCTCTTCAGGCTGTGCCCGGCCGAGCTCCATGGGTAAAAGCCCGGCCACCAGGCGCTCGTCTACGTGCCCCACCTCCGGGCCTGGCTCCAGAGTGGGGTCCCGGTGACCCACGTCCTGGCAAGGGAACATTAAGTCCATTTATTTTTCTCTTCATCGGGGTCTTTGGGCTGCACTTTGTCTAGTCCCTCACCTAGGACCTGTCTGCCATGGGTGACCCTACTAGGAGCGTAAAGCCCCTGACAGCATAGCTCCTAGGATCATTGGGACACTCAAACCCCTCCACCACGGTAAGGTGGCAGCCCAGGGAGGGGCCCTCCAATCTCTGGTGCTGAGGCCACCAAAGTGGTTAAAAAGCTCCTCGGTGGCAGGGCCCCAGGGGTGGATGAGATTCACCTAGAGTTCCTTAAGGCTCTGGATGTTGTAGGGTTGTGTTGGCTTACGCGACTCTGCAATATTGCGTGGACGTCGGGGGAAGTTCCCTTGGATTGGCAGACCGGGGTGGTGGTCCCCCTATTCAAAAAGGGGGACCGTAGAGTGTGTTCCAACTACAGGGGAATCACGCTCTTAAGCCTCCCTGGTAAGGTCTATTCGGGGGTTCTGGAGAGGAGGGTCCGTCGGATAGTCGAACCTCGGATTCAGGAGGAGCAGTGCGGTTTTCGTCCTGGTCGTGGAACACTGGACCAGCTCTACACTCTCAGCAGGGTCCTAGAGGGTGCGTGGGAGTTTGCCCAACCAGTCTACATGTGCTTTGTGGACATGGAGAAGGCGTTCGACCGCGTCCCTCAGGGAACCCTGTGGGGGGTACTCTGGGAGTATGGGGTACCGGGCCCTTTGATACGGGCTGTTAGGTCCCTGTATGACCGGTGTCAGAGACTGGTCCGCATCGCCGGCAGTAAGTCGGGCTTGTTCCCGGTGAGAGTTGGACTCCGCCAAGGTTGCCCTTTGTCACCGATTCTGTTCATAACTCTTATGGACAGAATTTCTAGGGGCAGCCAAGGTGTTGAGGGGATCTGTTTTGGTGGCCTTAGGATTGCGTCTCTGCTTTTTGCAGATGATGTGGTCTTATTGGTTTCATCAGATCGTGATCTACAGCTTTCGCTGGAGCGGTTCGCAGCCGAATGCGACGCGGCCGGGATGAAGATCAGTTCCTCCAAATCCGAGGCCACGGTCTTGAGCCGGAAAAGGGTAGAATGCCCTCTCTGGGTCATGGAGGAGGTCCTACCCCAAGTGGAGGAGTTCAAGTATCTTGTGGTCTTGTTCACGAATGAGGGAAAAATGGAGCGTCAGATCAATAGGCGGATAGGTGCAGCGTCTGCAGTGAAGCGGGTGCTGTACAGATCTGTCGTGGTAAAGAAAGAGCTGAGTCAAAAGACGAAGCTCTCAATTTACCGATCGATCTACGTTCCTACCCTCATCTATGGTCATGAGCTTTGGGTTGTGACCGAAAGAATGAGATCTCGGATACAAGCGGACGAAATGAGTTTTCTCTGCAGGGTGTCTGGGCTCTCCCTTAGAGACAGGGTGAGAAGCTCGATCATCCGGGAGGAGACTCAGAATAGAGCCGCTGCTTCTCCACATCGAGAGGAGCCAGTTGAGGTGGCTTGGGCATCTGTTTAGGATGCCTCCTGGATGCCTCCCTGGTGAGGTGTTACGGACACGTCCCACCGGAAGGAGGCCCAGAGGAAGACCCAGGACACGCTGGAGGGACTATGTTTCTCGGCTGGCTTGGGAACGCCTCGGGATTCCCCCGGAGGAGCTGGACCAAGTGGCTGGAGAGAGGGAAGTCTGGGCCTCCCTACTTAGGCTGCTACCCCCGCGACCTGACCCTGGGAAGATAACGGATGGGTGGATGGAATTTTTAAATGAGAGAAAAAAATAAACATTTACTGCAGATGGTTTTCAGAAATGGGCAGCACAGTGGGGCAACTGGTAGAGCTGCTGCCTCTCAGCGAGCAGGTCCTTGGTTCAAATCCCGGTCCGGGGGCCTTTCTGGGTGGAGTTTGCATGTTTTCTCCGTGCATGCGTGGGTTTTCTCCGGGTGCTCCGGTTTTCTCCCACAGACCAAAAACATGCATGTTAGGCTGATTGGTAACTCTAAATTGTCCCTAGGTGTGAGTGAGAGAGTGAATGTTTGTTTGTCTCGTTTGTCTCTATGTGTCCCTGTGATGGACTGGAGACCTGTCCAGGGTGTACCCCGCCCCTCGCACAGTGATTGCTGGACATGGGCACCAGCGACCCCCGTGACCCAAAATGGAATAAGCGGGTAAAGATAATGGATTGATGGTTTTCAGAAATAAGCTCCCAGTTTACTTTGATCAGAATCAGAATCAGAATCAGTTTATTATCGCCATGTCAATGAACGAGGTTCACAAACTAGGAATTTGCTTCGACATAAGGTGCGAATAGTAGTAAAGTAAAATAAAGTAAAAATTAAGTAAAAATGAGAACATTACATAAGACATAAGACCTGTGTACACCCACAAATAAAGTAAAATTAAAACCATAACATAAACATGTGTACACCCATACAATAGAAAACAATAAAAAGCTTAGAGAACAGTACAGATGGAGTATTCAATTATAATACAGATGTAATGTGACCAAAGCAGAAGTTATGAGGTAGCATTATGAGTGTTCAGGAGTCCAACAGCAGAGGGGAAGAAACTGTTCTTATGGTGGGAGGTTCTGGTCCGAATGGACCGAAGCCTCCTGCCTGAGGGGAGTGGTTCAAACAGTCCGTGTGCAGGGTGAGCAGGGTCAGCTGTGATCCGACCTGCTCGCCTGATGATTAATATTATTCAAGTAAACAGGTTTAAATATAAAATAAATGTGCTTTCTTTATTAATAAGTGTGCTTCTGATGTAGCAGGTTGAGATGTGCTGGTTGGAAACTCATTAACCCTAATTCTTTAAATGGATCAGAAATCCAGGCTGGAGCTGATTACAGTCTGTGAAGAAATGAAACTGAACTTTTACACTTTCTGAAACAGATTTTTAAAGCTATAAATGACTTTAATTGACTAAAGAAACTTCCCTATTTTATTCAATTCAATTCAGTTTATTTCTAAAGCTCCAAGTCACAACAGAAGTCGTCTCAGGGACTGAACAGAAACATTCATGTATAAAATAATAATTGAACAGAAACATTC